TAGTAGTAGTAGTAGTAGAAGTAGTAGTAGTAGTAGTAGTAGTAGTAGTGGTAGTGGTCGTAGTAGTAGGCGTAGTATTATTTTGATACTCGTAATCCAAAAATTACCCTGCGACGTACCCAACCCACGTGCGTCAAATGGCAAGAGGACTATGCCAACATTAGCAGGAACAACGACAGTGTAGACGCGGCGATTTGCTGTGCAAGCTACATGGGATGCGCATGCGTTGCACGATTCACAGGACGACGATCGAAAGAACGAGGATTGGGGCCCCAGGATCGAAGAAGAACGGGTACGGGAACGAGGGGTAGGAGAGGGATGGACTGGAGGGCGGGGGGGGGGGGGGGCGAAAGCCTATCGCGGAACATCAGCATGATGTGAGATAGGACGGCGGGAATAGGACAACGATGAAAGTGGGCTGAAGGAGACAAAGGACAGGCCGCGTTTTTCAAGTGCGAGCTAAACCCGCTTGCGCCATGTCGTCGCAGAGTTCCACATGATAGAACTTGTTTAGAGAGCAAGGAACGAGCGAGGCGTAGCTCGCCCGCTAGCTTCTCCGCCTCCTTCCCGCACATTTCAGCGCGGGCGCTGACGCTCGCAGGCGCGCCGCCAGGTCTGCGGGCGGCCCGCGGGAAAGAAACTCAAGGCCGGGGTCGCGTATCGTCAATCGGTTGTCCATCGTCCAAAGTTGCACTGGCGACGTACAGGTTGAACGCGGAGCGAGCAGCATCACGCGCGTGCCTGAACGCCACGCAGGTACAGTGCACGCGCGATTGGGACTTCAGATCGATCACGCGCGTCTCCACCAGGCTTGGCAACACCGCGAAGAACGAAGGATCTCAACTGCGGTCAGCCATGGCTGCTTGTCCGCGAAAATGCAACCCTGCCTGCAAGTAAGGCGGCGGCGTCCACTTGTCTCAGAAGATGTTCTCGCGGGCCCGAAGGGCGACCGCCAGCTCGAGCCGCGGCGCCGGCAGGCCAGATAAGGATCATGCAACAGCAAAGACGAAGACAGAGCAACGAGGTATCGGCGAGTGCATGACCGGCCTCCGTTTCCTGCAGTTATTTCCTGTAGTTCCCCTAGCTCATCGAGCTCAGCAGAATGTATCTGCGGGTCCGAAAGGACGCCGCCCAGCTCGAGTACCAGCGGCCGACTAGCTGCAATCCACATCAGGCAAACACCCCCAGGAGAACATGGCACACAACGATTTGACGTCAGTCAGTGCCAGACCACTCCATGTCTAGTTCCTCGCACACATACAGTCGATCGCAGATGCGGGATAATCGAAGTAGAATGACGGGTCCAAACTGCGTCTGCGTAGGACGTCACTATGCTGGACCCCGCAGCAGGTTTCGAAAGTGGCGACAGTTTCGTGGGCCCCACAGCAGCCCTCGAAAGTGGTGACAGTTTCACAGATCGCAGCCCCCCAGGGAAGGCGAGGTCTAATCTGAGTCCCCGTAAGACGTCACTCCGCTGGGCCCCCCAGCAGCCCTCGAAAGTGGCGACATTTTCACAGATCGCAGCCCCCCAGCGATGGCGAGGTCTAATCTGAGTCCCCGTAAGACGTCACTGTGCTGGGCCCCCCAGCAGCCCTCGAAAGTGGCGACAGTTTCACAGATCGCAGCCCCCCAGGTATGGCGAGGTCTAATCTGAGTCCCCGTAGGGCGTCACTCCGCTGGGCCCCCCAGCATCCCTCGAAAGTGGCGACAGTTTCACAGATCCAGCCGACCCAGGACTGGCGAGGTCTAATCTGAAATCCCGGAAAGGGCGTCCACTCCGCTGGGCCCCCCAGCAGACCACGAAAGTTGCGACAGAATCACATATCGCAGCCGCCCAGGGATGGTCGAGGTCTCTTCTGAGTCCCCGTAGGGCGTTCGCCTCCGCTGGGCCCCCCAGCAGCCCTCGAAATGCGACAGTATCCGCAGATCGCACAGCCCCCCAGGGTTGGCGAGGTCTAATCTGAATCCCCGTAGTGCGTCCACTCCGCTGGCCACCCACCAGCAGCCCTCGAAAGTGGCGACAGTTTCACAGATCGCAGCCGCCCAGGGATGGCGAGGTCTAATCTGAGTCCCCGTGGTGCCTCACTCCGCTGGACCCACCAGCAGCCCTCGAAAGTGGCGACAGTTTCACAGATCGCAGCCCCCCAGGTAATGCGAGCGGCAAGCAAGGAGGTAAAAGTCAAGCGAGAAGCGGACGACTGAAGAAGAGGAGGATAAGGATGCAAGAGATAATCAGAGGAGGAGCGGGAGTAGCGGGAGGAAGAAGGAGAGGAGGAAGGTGAGACCACAGTGCTCTATTCAAAACGAGTGCCCACGCAAGGAGGGTTTGTAATACTTGCCCTGGCGACGTACCAACCCCTGCGCAAAAGCGGGGCGCAAATAGTTTAGGATACTTTATAAGGGGGCGATGACAGAGCGAGGGTTACATATGTCTGCAGACGGAATTCGGGAGACTCGCAGGACACTGGCTACAGGAAAAGGGCTTGATAAAGCTGATGATTTACAATTCCTGAGCACTCCTAGCCACTTCGAAAACGGGGATCACAGCAGGCCTCGAAAGTGGCGACAGGTTCACAAATCGCAGCCCCGCAGGGATGGCGAGGTCTCATTTGAAACTGCCCGTGGCCCTCACTGTGCTGGGCCCCCCAGCAGCCTCGAAAGTGGCGACAGTTTCACAGATCGCTGCCCCCCAGGGACGGCGAGGTCTAATTTGTATCCCCGTAGGGCAGATTCGCAGCCCCCCAGGCATATCGCAGCCCCCCAGGGATGGCGAGGTCTAATTTGAATCCGCGCGTGGCCCTCACATTGCTGGGCCCCCAGCAGGCCTCGAAAATGGCGACAGTTTCGCAGATCGCAGCCCCCCAGGGATGGCGAGGTCTAATTTGAATCCGCGCGTGGCCCTCACTGTGCTGGGCCCCCCAGCAGGCCTCGAAAATGGCGACAGTTTCGCATATCGCAGCCCCCCAGGGATGGCGAGGTCTAATTTGAATCTGCGCGTGGCCCTCACTGTGCTGGGCCCCCCAGCAGGCCTCGAAAATGGCGACAGTTTCGCAGATCGCAGCCCCCCAGGGATGGCGAGGTCTAATTTGAATCCGCGCGTGGCCCTCACTGTGCTGGGCCCCCCAGCAAGCCTCGAAAATGGCGACAGTTTCGCAGATCGCAGCCCCCCAGGGATGGCGAGGTCTAATTTGAATCCGCGCGTGGCCCTCACTGTGCTGGGCCCCCCAGCAGGCCTCGAAAATGGCGACAGTTTCGCAGATCGCAGCCCCCCAGGGATGGCGAGGTCTAATTTGAATCCGCGCGTGGCCCTCACTGTGCTGGGCCCCCCAGCAGGCCTCGAAAATGGCGACAGTTTCGCAGATCGCAGCCCCCCAGGGATGGCGAGGTCTAATTTGAATCCGCGCGTGGCCCTCACTGTGCTGGGCCCCCCAGCAGGCCTCGAAAATGGCGACAGTTTCGCAGATCGCAGCCCCCCAGGGATGGCGAGGTCTAATTTGAATCCGCCCGTGGCCCTCACTGTGCTGGGCCCCCCAGCAGGCCTCGAAAATGGCGACAGTTTCGCAGATCGCAGCCCCCCAGGGATGGCGAGGTCTAATTTGGATCCGCCCGTGGCCCTCACTGTGCTGGCCCCCCAGCAGGCCTCGAAAATGGCGACAGTTTCGCAGATCGCAGCCCCCCAGGGATGGCGAGGTCTAATTTGGATCCGCCCGTGGCCCTCACTGTGCTGGGCCCCCCAGCAGGCCTCGAAAATTGCGACAGTTTCACAGATCGCAGCCCCCCGCGGGCAAGACAGGAAGAGGCGGGAGGGGAAAAGGAGGAAGGGAGGAGAAGGGACGCGACCACACTGCTCTATTCAAAACGAATACCCAACCAAGGAGGGTTGGGAATAATAATACGCATACGAATAAGGAAAAACTTAGAAAAGCTAAGGGAAAGCTTAGAAAAGCTAAGAAGAAGCTGAGAAAAGCTGAGGAAAGCTAAGGAAAGGCTAAGACAAGCTAAGAAAAAGCTGGGAAAAGCTCAGGAAAAGATCAAGGAAAGCTGAGGAAAGCGAAGAAAAGCTAAGGAAAAGCTGAGAAAAGCTAAGGACAACTAATGACAATCAAAGGAAAACTATTGAAAAGCTAAGGAAAAGCTAAGGACAACTAAGGACAACTTAAGAAAAGCTGAGGAAAACTAACGAAAAGCTAAGGACAACTAAGGAAAAGCTAAGGAGAACTTGTGACCCTCGCAGTGACCCTCGCAGAGTACCCCCAAGGCCTGAGTATGGAGGAAGTCCAAGGCGGGAGCCTTGTCTGTGAGCGCGTCCTCCTCCGTGTCCTCCTCCTCCTCTTCCTCCTCCTCCTCCTCCTCCTTCTCTTCCTCCAGCCCACATTTTTCTAATGAGATTTCTATTGCAACCCCTTTGTAAAAATGATTTTTTTCGGCCGTCGTAGGAGGTGGTCCATCCCAAGGTATCGCCCCCGCCCCGCACCGCGGCGTTATCTTAGCACCCGGCAGGACCAAAATAAATCCCCGAGCCAGAGTAGGAGTGGATCAGTGTACATGGTTACGGCACCGAACAGCGAGGGTCGAGCACTGGAAAGACGCGTGGCCACTGAAGCTCTCTGACTCCTCCGCATGCGTTCCCTCATTCTTTCAGGAGGGTGTACCCCCTCCAGATGCCAGGATAACGCTTCCGGGTGCCGGGTGCGTTATCTTTTCACCCGAGAGGGGGGGGGGGTCCTTAATCGCTTATCCGGGTTAGTAGTAGTAGTAATAGTAGTAGTAGTGGTAGTAGTAGTAGTAGTAGTAGTGGTAGTAGTAGTAGTAGTAGTAGTAGTAGCAGTAGTAGTAGTAGTAGAAGTAGTAGTCGTCGTAGTCGTAGTAGTGGTAGTAGTAGTAGTAGTAGTAATCGTGGTGGTAGTAGTAGTAGTAGTAGTAGTAGTAGTAGTAGTAGTAGTCGTAGTAGTAGCCGTAGTAGCCATAGTAGTAGTAAAAGTAGTAGTAGTAGTAGTAGTAGTAGTAGTAGTAGTAGTAGTAGTAGTGGTAATCGTAGTCGTAGTAGTGGAAGTAGTCGTAGTAGTAGTAGTAGCAGCAGCAGCAGCAGTAGTAGTAGTAGTAGTAGTAGTAGTAGTAGTAGTAGTAGTAGTAGTAGTAGTAGTAGTACTAGTACTAGTACTAGTAGTAGTAGTAGTAGTAGTACTAGTAGTAGTAGTAGTAATAGTTTTAGTAGTCATCGTAGTAGTAGTAATCGTAGCAGTCGTCGTAGAAATAGAAGTAGTAGTCGTAGTAGTAGTAGTAGTAGTAGTAGTAGTAGTAGTAGTAGTAGTAGTAGTAGTAGTCAGTAGTAGTATAGTAGTAGTCGTAGTAGTATTAGTAGTAGTCAGTAGTAGTAGTATAGTTAGTAGTAGTAGTAGTAAGTAGTAAGTAGTAAAGTAGTAGTAGGTAGAGGGAGTGCGTAGTAGTAGTCGTAGTAGTAGTACTAGTAGTTAGTAGTAGTAGTAGTAGTAGTAGTAGTAGTAGTAGTAGCCGTAGTAGTAGTAGTAGTAGTAGTAGTAGTAGTAGTAGTAGTAGTAGTAAGTAGTAGTAGTAGTAGTAGTAGTAGTAGTAGTAGTAGTAGTAGTAGTAGTAGTAGTAGTAGTAGTAGTAGTAGTAGTAGTAGTAGTAGGTAGTCGTAGTAGTAGTAGTAGTAGTAGTAGTAGTAGTAGTAGTAGTAGTAGTAGTACTGGTAGTAGGTAGTGTAGTGGTAGTGGTAGTGGTAGTAGTAGTAGTAGTAGTAGTAGTAGTAGTAGTAGTAGTAGTAGTAGTAGTAGTAGTAGTAGTAGTAGTAGTACTAGTAGAGTAGTAGTAGTAGTAGTAGTAGTAGTAGTAGTAGTAGTAGTAGTAGTAGTAGTAGTAGTAGTAGTTTTGATACTAGTAATACAAGAAATAGAAGTAGCAACGTTAGTGGTAGTCCCTCGGCGATGCGCGGCCGGTGGAGACCACACCACGCCTGAAAGACCTCAGAAAGTCTGCAGAAGGTTACGTCGACGTCAGCGTGGTCGCCGTCGTCTCCAATGCAGCCAGGCAGAGGGAGGGAGGGGAGAGAAGGAGATGAGGGAGGGAGGAGGAAAGAGGAGAGAGAAGGGGGGAAGGGAGAGCGATCCCACAAGGAGATGTTGTGGCTTCATTGGAGTTGCTGTCGCAGCCGCCGCCATCGTGTTCTTCGCCCTTCGGACCTCCGAAGGCTTCGCCGAAAACAGTGCCGATGTCGACGCGGTCGCCGTGGTCGTCGCCATGGTGATGGTCGTCGTCGTTGACATCGAGCCTCTGGCGGCCGTTCGGGGCGATCCCCCTCCGGCAACGCTCTCGACGAGGCGCGGCCGATGGAAGCCACCCAGGGCCCTGAGACCAACCGAACACCTCCCAAAACTACGTATGTCGACGTCGCCGTCGACGTGGTCGCCGTCGCCGCCGCCCTCGTTGTCCTCGTGGTCGTGGTCGTGGCCGCCGCAGTCGCCGCCGCCGCCATCGACGTCATCGTCGTCGTCGTCGACGTCGTCGTCGTCGACGTCGTCGTCGTCGTCGCCGTCGCCGTCGTCGTCGCCGTCGCCGTCGCCGTCGCCGTCGGGCGTTGCGGGCGTCGTCGGGAGTCGTCGGGCGTCGTCGGACGTCGTTGAGCGTCGTCGTCGTCGTCGTCGCCCTGCGGACCCGCGCGGGCGGCGGCGGCGGCGGCGGGGGGGCGCCGGGCGGCCGACGCCGCAGGCCGCGGCGCCCAGGGCCACCGCCTGGGCAGCGGTCGTCTTCGTCCCTCGTCGTCCTCGTCCAAGACCGAGACGAGCAGGGAGGACGAGGACGGGGACGAGTCGTCCTAACCCTCGTACTGCTCCGCCCCCTCCTCTCGCTCTCTCTCTCGTTCCGCCTCTCCGCTCACTCCGGGCGACTGCGAGTGTCAGCTCGGTTGTATGGCGGCGATCCCGTGAGCTGGTCACCTTCAGTCTGTACCCATGTGGTAAGATGGAACCAGGACGTGACATCGGGTGAAGATAAACCGAGAATTTTTGAGATCTGGCGGTTCCGGATAATGTCTCGGGCGCCGCGGCCTTCCCAGAGCGTTCTGGAACGCTCTGAAAGCGTTCCAGAACGATCTGCAACGGATAGTTCTCGTCCTTGCTCCGTCCGATTTGGCTCCCGCGAGCCGCCCCCAGAGGCACCCGTGCGCCTGGGGCCTGTATAGCCCATAAGAAAAACTTGGGCCCCAACGTGAGCAACCACTTAAACTCTTACATTCTGCTTCGCCCGAACTCTGACGAACCGAGAAAAAACCCATTTACCTTCTTCAGACCCCTGCCCCTGGCATGGTGTTTTTTCGCAATGTCGCCCCCCAAAAGGTCTCAACCCTTTTCCCGGGACTGGCTTTTCATCCAGAGTCGATTTCTGACGGTTTCGGGGGCCCAGCAAGGGCATCCAGATGCCGAACGCGTTCAAGAAACTTCCCGTCCGCCGCCGCCGCCCTCACATATGCACATCATTTGATTTTTCGGGCGCGTTTGGTGTATCCGTCGGGCGCATTTGGCGTTCCAGTTGCTGCTGCGTGGGTGCACATCATACTGTCCACTCGGTTGCCACCGTCGCAACCTTGAATCTGCCGACGCGTCGCGGCCATCCGGATGCACGTCCCAGCGAGCGAGCGAGGGGGTCTGGGGGAACAGGCGCCTTGAAGATGACGACGTCTTCCTTCTGGCGCCGAAAGCCGAAACACTTCGTGACCAAAAAGGGTGGCTCGCACGCGTCGCGGCCCTCTGGATGCATGGCCCAACGAGCAAGCGAGGGCGTCCGGGGGATCAGGCGCCTTGAAAATGTCGGCGCCCCGGCGGATGCCGCCGTCGATGAAGACGGTGAAGTCCTGGGGCGCTCGGAGGGCAAACAACCAGGACGACGGCAGTGACCTGTGGATCGGCCAGCGTCGAATCCGGAACTCGGAGGAGCGGCGATCACTCCAACCTTCAACGTATCAAATCAACACGGATTTTTGTTCGTCGTTCTGGCCTCTTTGGGACCTAATCAAGCCAAGGGGCCGTCAAACACCGACTCGGCATGAACAACCCGCCCTGGCAAATAGGCCGGGACTTCCGGGAGCTCCGATTGGACAGAAGGCAAGACATCGGATGTCGGGGTCAATATCCACGCCCTCACGGGCTGGATTTCGGGGATTCCGTGGATGTGCGGTCGCACGGGTGCGCTCCGCGCGGGGCCTCTGCAAACAGACACCCCTTGTCCGCGGGGTTGCGGCCCCACGATGAATTTTCCGCCCACGACGGAAAGCGCGTCGGATCGGGCCGCATCGGCACGGCATCGGACTCGGGTTGGACCGGCCACGCCAAGACGCACACCAACGCCATGCAAATGTCGGGCCGCATCGGATGGTCGGAATGCCAGGATAAAACTGGATCGGGCCAGTTGGGATCGATGTCGATTCGGATCGAAGTGGGATGTGGGAGGTGCCTTCCACTCCCTCCAGCCCTCTTCCGAAGCCCAGACCTCCGACGCCTTGTATATTTCGATACGGGCATCTCGACTCATTAGGTCTTCTCTGGGCACCAATGCTTGGCCCCCAAGCAGAAGCCTTGACCCCCTCCCGGCAAGCGGCAGAGGGGAACGTCGAAACCGCCGAAACACATCCAGCTAGATTCCTCAAAGCATTGGAGGTCTGGGTTCGGGCGTAACCGATAGAGACCCCCCAAATGGGATCCGAGTAGATCGGGTCGGAGGATCGCGCCGCATCGCCGATGCATCGGCGACGTCGACGTGGAGAGCATCGGGCTCCACATCGAGCCGCATCGCCGATGCATCTACGATGCGGCGTGATCCTCCGACACCTACTCGCACCTCATTGAGTATCGTTTAACCGATCCCCATCCCCAGCGGTGTGGCCTGGGCTCAGCTGGCCGATTTACCCGTCTAGATGGGGATATAGGTCGTTGTCTTGGGGTTTCGAGTGGTGTATCCCCAACTGGGGTGGTAATTTGGTGGGAGTCTCGAAGGGGATGGACATGGGGATAGGGATCGGATAAAGGATACCGACTCATTGGGGAATCCTGGGAACGATCAGCCCCAGGGCCCGGTCCCTCAGGGATCTGCCTTCTGGAGACTTCGATCGCCCAGCTCGGGGGCGTCCACGAGGGGGGGTTCGCCCACGAGGGTGGCGTCCATGTGCGCGGCCCCGGGGGCGGGAATAGACGCGCTGAAGGAAGAAGAGAGGGCCACGAAACCGAGGGAGACGTCATGGCCACATCCGATGCCTTGCTTGTTTTTCTCAGTGCGGGGTCATAGTCCCGACTTTTTCCCCAACGACAACTCTTCATCCCAGGTCGTCTGAAGCCGGCCCCAGGGCTCGGCGAGGGCCCCTGGAGGCCGAACACATTCAGAAATCTCCTGTCATGAATCCGTGTTTCACGACGCGGCCATGTCTGGCTCTCAGTCCTCACTCGCCTCTTGGCCGCCGCCGACAGGACCAGGCCTCTCCCGGTACTCATCCCCGGGGAGCCAGGCCGCTCCCCTGCCCGCGCGGGTCCTCCGGCTTGTAGTCTATGTCCTTCAGTGCCTGGGGGCGCGGGGCACAGCCGTACCATGACCGCGAGAACGTGGGCCAAGATCATGAACCCCATTCTTGCCGTCGCTCGGACGTCCATTTCCCGTGCATTTTTCGGTTTCGTGCGTGTTTTTTTTGCTCGATGGTCCAGGATGGTCCTCGATGGTTCTCGCCGAGAAAAAATGCACACGTCCAAGCGATGCCAAGCATTCGCCGAAGGCACAAAGCCCGACTAACGACGGCAGGGCCCCAATCGTACGCCTTGATTGCGCCGTGCGCGGGCCGCCAGCGTGGCACACCGCGTGGAGAAAAGGGCGCTTACCCGCCACCCTACACAGAAAACTGACGCTTAAATATGCGCGCAGTCGGCCCAGTTTCTTCCGTCGCTCCCATGGAGATATCCCAGACGAAGCAGATTCCAAGGCGGAGAACCCAAACATCAAGACCATGAGGTTGCCCCTCCAAAGCTGGGGTGGTTCTTGACCTTCGTACCAATTGCATTACAGGAAGCCTGAAACACAACTGGCCTGACCAACATTGGAAGCGGCCAGCGGGTCGCCGCTGGATGGGCCCCAAGCAAATCGATCAGGGAATGAGGGCAAATCCAATCAAACTCAGACCCCTCCCAGGGTCGAACCTGACAAGTTTTTCGAACCGCGTCCAGCCGTGGTGACGAGGGGGCCCCTTTCCCCCTCTCTGCTGGACAGAACCAGTGCTGGCCCACGTAAGCCCCCGCCAGCTGGCTCCAAGAACCACATGCATTTCGTCTTTCAGAGCGCACGGCACGAACACACAACAACCGAGGGCCTGACAAGCGCGACCGGGGGACGACTTGATCCCCAGACTCTCGGCGACTGCTGGTCCCTCTACGCACGCTGTTGTGCCAGTCCTCCGCCTGAAGATCCACAACACATGAGACGAGCGGACGAAGAAGAAGGCTGGGAAGAGGAGGCAGGAGCTAAAGCTGGCTCAGCGCGAACCCGGCTGCGGGGCCGCCGAACCTGGCTCAGCCTAAACGTGGCGTTGCAGGACCCTGCAAGATCTGGCGCTCTGACTGAGCCCCGTCTGCGTAGCGCCCCGCTGCCTGCCAGCTGAAGAAGGAAGGGGGGGAAGAGAGAGGCGCCGCCGGCCTGATTCACACGCGGAGCATCTGGCGGCTCTCGTACGACGGGGCGGCGCAAGGGAAGCACGGGGGCATCTCAGAAGCCCTCCCAACTTCTAAGAAGGAGCATCGTTGAATCGATCCCCAAACTCCACTGGCGTGGCCTTGGCCCCACTGGCCGACTGCCCCACCTGGGCGGGGACATAGAGGATATATGCTGTTCCCTTCGGGTTTCGCGGGACCTATCACCACCCAGGGGGGCGGACTGGTGGGGCTGAGAAACCAAGGCGTGGTGGGGATGGGGATCGGTTAGACGATGCTGAAAGAAACCTTGTTAGGAGCTTCCAGGCCTTCTAAGAAGGCCCCGGCCTTCTCTATCGGCCGACCCCCTTGTCCCACCCTCCTGTGCGCGCCGCCACGTGAGCGACAAACGATGACATAGCGACTTTACGTAATGGCTCACGCGGGCCGCAAGTCTGTCAGACCGCGTGTAGAAAAGAGCGCTTGCGCGCGACCTACGCGGGAAACTTGCGCGCGAATGCCCGCGCAACCGACTCCCTTTTCTCCCGTCGCTCACGTGGTCATCGGTCTCTGACGTCGTGCAGGCCACGCCCAAGCTTGAGAGACCTTCGATGCTCGATAACGGGTCGTGCAAGATTGGCCTGGCTCAGGCCGCAGGTGGCCTGCATCAGAACGAGAATGATGTCATTATTGGCTGACCATACGTTCCAGGATTTCCAGAATATCCAGCGGCCTTCGTTTCTGCAGCCCGTGTGGAGCGTTAGGTAATCTAGGACATCCTGGAGGTCTTGGAATGTATCATTATCATGACTTCTTGCTCATTTGAATCATCGGGACGCGCGCTTATTTGGGTCAGCGCTAACCCAGGTCAGGCAGTGCCACATCGCGACTCGCGACATCCTGGCCGGCCACGAATGAGGGGAAACGTTATGGACTGGCTCAGGGGGGAAACCTCGAGCTGGAATCGGAAATGCGTTGCAGATCGATCGGCGGTAGCTAGACCTCAGAGAGCGAACCCGCACACTCCCAGGCGGGGTGCGCCCGCGCTATCAGGCCCATATCGACGATTCGACGATCCATGGGCGGCTGCAGGTCGATGCGCCTCCCAAGGTCCAATCCCCTTCTAACGATGCCACCGAGGGACGCGCTGGCCTGGGTCAGCGCCCGTCCGGGTCAGGCAGTGCCACGTCAAGACGCCCTGGCTGGGCACGACGCAGCTCCCTGGACCCCAGCTCAGCGGAGGGGAGGGAGGGCGGACTCCCAGACCCGGACCCGGGTCAACCAGAGGGTCTCGGAGGGCACTGGCCGACCCCCGTTGGCGCTGACACCTGTCATGCGCCCCGCGACCTTCAACCTCGAGCGCATGCGCGGGCGTCGCCGCCGCGCCGGCGTGGCGCGAGCCTGCGGGGGTCACATCGCGTGTGCCGTGTGGCCAGATCGGAAGGATGCGCGGACAAGATACGAGGTCTTTCGATGGCGCCCGCATTGGAAATAGAGATTCGACGGCGAGCCCGGGGTGAGGTGAGAGGGGGCGGGCCTTCTCAGAAGGCTCGGAAGTGAGAAGGGGCGGGCCTTTGGACGACGCCCGAAACTGAGGGGCAACGATAGGGGGGAACTGGCATATGGGGGGGAGACATCGTCCTGGAATCGGCGATACATCGCCGATAGATCGATGGGCCCGTGATAATGAATCCCAGCGATCCTGGGCCTCTATCGGCGATCAATGGGCGATTGAGGGTCGATGCATCCGCCCCATGGCTAACCCCCCACCCTACCGTTGCCCTCAGATTTGGAAGCCGAAATTGGAGGCCCGTCATGCCCATAGCGACGGGCCAGGATGGCCAGAGCAAGAATGCAAGGGGACCTCTGGATACACGACTCATCCTTGTGACGCGGTTTGACTGTATCTGACTTCCTGGTGGAGGAAGAGGGCGACGACGAGGATCGGCGATCCAGAAGAGACGCGTGGTCGCGCGCGGTGTGGAGCGCGGTGCGACGCGGGCTACCCACAACTTTCGTCGCCGGATCAGGTCGAGGTTGGCGGGGATTGCCTGCTCCGAACTACCCTGCTGTTCGTTCCGCGGTTCGCAGGGAGAAGGGGCGAGCGTGGATTTCCCTCGAATCCTTGATCCTGGCGTCACGAACATCACCACGGGCGTCTTTGGTCCGCTCTGGCCCCCTTCGAGGGCGGCGGCGATGTCGACGAAGGCGACGACGACCTCGACGACGACGACGACGACGACGACGACGACTACGACGACGACGACCTCGAACCTTCCAACTTTGGTCGTGGTTCCTCGCGGTCGCAGGACCGGCGGGGAACCGGGATGACTCGTGACACGTTGTGCCACTTGGACGCCGACTGGGGAACGAGAGAGGATACTATGCTGCTGCGCTTACGGAGAACCAGGAGGAGGAGGCAGGAGGTAGGAGTGCCAGAGAAGGCAGAAGAGAAGGACCGATAAGAGCAAGAGGAGGAGGAGGAGGAGGAGGAGGAGGAGGAGGAGGAGGAGGAGGAAGAGGAGGAGGAGGGGAAGGAGGAGGACCAATGCAATTCGCCAGCCCAACGGGCCAAAGGCGTGCTCAAATCTCCGGTAACAATTTCATAATACTTCTATTTCGCGCGCGCGCGTGGCTGCCCCTGGGGGTTCCCAGGGAAAATACATGCCGGAACTTCCAGGCGGTCCCTGTCACGGATGCCGGAACTCCTGGGGGCTGCTTCCAGGGCCGTCAAGAGCGTCTCAAAAGGCTCCCAAGGCGATCTAAGGTGGCCCAGAGTCGCCGGCAGTCGTTACAAGATGCCCAAGATTGGGCTCCAGACGGCTTCAACCGCCTCCAAGACGCCCGAACATGCCTCGACCACTCCCAAGACGCCTCCTTAGGCAACAATCAGCGATTTTCCATTTCGTTTTTGACGGTTTTCAGCCTTCTCACCTTTTCGGCCGCCGACGGTCTAAGATGGCCCAAGACGCCCCTACGATCGCTCCAAGACGGCCTAGTCAGCCTCCATGAGAGCCCCAAAACGGCCCACGGGGACTCCAAGCTGGCCCAAGTTTCTCCCAAGACGGCGCTGGAAAGCACCAAGACTTCTTCAGGAAGACCCATCGAGGGGGAGCCCCAAGGGACATTTCGAGCAATCGGCTTCAAAATCGCCACCAGAGCCCCTCCATCCGGGCCTCCGAAGAGCTCTCAGTTGGCCTTCGGCCTTCAAATCGCCCCCAGAGCGTCCCCCTCCAGGCCTCGGAGGAAGCGGACCCCAAGAGCCCCCCAAGAGGGCTCAAGAGGCCCCCAAGAGGCGCCAAGAGAGCTCCGAGAGGCATCCAAGGCGCCCCCCGGAGGCCCCCAAGAGCCCCTGAGACCGCTACACAGAACCCTGAAGAGACACCAAGAAGCATTCATGAGGACTCTCACCCACGACCGCAGCAGCGCCGACCAGCAACGCCGCATGGATCCCGAACGCGCACGCAAACGGCAACGATGACAAAATACGTGCCGGCCTTTCACACATCCCTACATATTGTGTTCATTGCGGAGGGTGCCCTATCGGAAGATCTCCAATCGTACCAAAAAGAATCTCACGGGACTACAACACCGTGAGTCAACGTAACTGTAGCGTCCTGACATTCCTAAATCATGCCAGAGCACTATTCCGGGCCCTTGAACACGACGAGCCATGGCGACTGTTTGTCCTGACAATTCTAAATCGTTCCAATGCACCTGGCTTAAGACTTCAACCATGCAACTCTTTGAGCCGGTGAAGAACTTTGCAGAACGACTGTGCGCGGCGCTACAGCGAGAACCGCATTGTGGGAAACACGCCCTCCGTCCGCGAAGCGTCTCCCAGCTGTGAAAGCGAATGTGCGCAGCGCTAAGGCGAAAACTACATTTG